CCGCTCCACTCCTCATTCCCCCTCTCCAATCATAGTCAGCGCCACTAATCCTCATCACGCCCCATCAATGTTAGTCACGGCTCAATATTTATCGTCTCGCACCGTTACACCTTATTCCGGCCGCCCTCGTCATTCCCCTCCTCTGTACATCACGCCTCCCTATCCTCGTCACTTCGCGTCTCTTCTTATGCCTCGCTCCCAGTCGCCCGCTCCACCACCCCACCTTCTCCGCCTCTTTCCCATCCCCTCCAAGTACTTGGCTGCCCCGCCCCTCTCTCCGCCGCTCGCTTTCAGCGCTGAGGGCCCTCTCACGGCGTCGCGTGACAGCCCGGAGGCGCCAGCGGCTCGCACGGGCCGCGCCGGCAGAAAATTCCGCACACCTCGACGCGCAGGCCGGCTGAGTTTCGCTCACAGCCAACATTTATCCACCTCGGAAGCTAATCCGAAGCGGAGGTCCTAGAGTTTGTACCAAAACGGTGGTGGATGTTCAACGCTAGCTCTATTGTAGGGTAGAGTTCAGCCGCTGTCTCGAGCAGAATTCTAGCTGAACATTACTCTGATCGGTAGTGTTGCGCGGTTTCTCCGAACAATGCCAGGCGACCGTGTGGGAAGTAACCTAACCAACGGGCCACGGACTGCGCGCTATCTTTGCTTCCTCTGTCTTGTCGTATCCTCCCCTAACACACTCCTACTTACATGCACTACTCTACCAAAAATCTTTTTGAGCAGTTGGGAGATTAAAACTTCTCCCTGATGAGGGATGCCTCGAAGGGTTAGCTTCTTGACAAGGTAAATCCCTCACAATCTGACGTGTAGGCCATAGCCGGATCTCATAATTCAGGGAAGAGGCACATCGCTGCATTCAGGCAGAAACCATTCACCATACAAACGGAACTACTGGCTGCGGCAGTTGAAAACCCCGAAACCCCAATTCAATGAATCAATCAATCAAGTTGAGCGGAAACGGTAGAAGGGGTGAAGCTGAAATCGCGACTGGCCAGGAACGTCTCAATGACCAGAAATTCATAATCTTCCTTTATGCAATCGCCTTTTAGACAGCCCTCATCTTGGATTTGGGAACAAATATGGATTTATTACATCTTCTAATTTTGAAAATAAAATCAGAAACAAGTTTTCTCATTACACTGATTTTACAATTCATTCCAAATACAATATAACGGAGCGATTTCAATAATATCTACTTATGTAACACAAAATACTTCGAAAGAGCTACGGGTTCGAAATGGATTACAGCAGAGCTCTACTGAAGTTGGTTCTCTGTGTGGAAAGTAAAACCATTTAGTCGCAATGACTTCCTGACTCCTATAGTGCCACAAATATTTGGACAAACTAACAGTAGCAAAAAATTAAAATAGTGTCACCAGGAAGCAATCAAGATTCTTAATCCTTCATTCTTTTTGTCGTGTCTTCTGTCATGCAGCTAAAAAGTATCATTTTTGGAAAGTTCCTTTTAATTTATTCCAATACAAAAGAAACCCCTACAATAAACTCCAAAAGTAAAAGAAAAAAGATATTTACTTTACTTATTAAAAATATACTATAAATTAAAATGTTATAACTTTCACACGTGTTATCACCAAGGCATAAGAATATTTTGTAATTAAAATTTATTAATTATTATCAGATCAGCATTTGACCCTGCACTTTCCGTTGACATATCGTACAATTCCCAGTTTCAGTTTAAGATGGTGAATTTTGTTGTCAATCATTAAAGAGTTTTAAAACGAACCGAATGCATTACACACCTTCGTAGTTTGATCCTCATGGCGAAAGTAATACATCATTATTCACTTATTAAATAAAACAAATTAACAATTTAAAATGTTCGTAATATCTCTTACTGTATCAAGTCTCTAGTTTCCGCAACACTGATTTTATGGATTGAGTTGATGATAATCGGGGTTAATTACAGCAAATGACGTTACATTTGCGGTGGGCAAAACTGGTTTACTCCAAATTCTTTTTTTAATTAGTTGCCACCTTATAAACATGGAATACAAACAACAAAAATATTAAATTGCGTACTCTTAAGTAATGGCATTGGTGTATTGCGACCGCCACTGTTCGAAAATATTTTGATAATTCCTGTGAGCTAGTCTGTATTTTTTTGTTGTCTAATGTATTTTTTCTGTGGAATTTCAGGTGACATCAAAGGCATTTTTACATTTACTTATTAATTTCCAAGAATTGAAACTAATGGAAATCTCGAGTGCGCTCCCACTCGTTTACGGAATACAACACGTGACGTCTTGTCAAAATGTCGTGTGAAAGCATGAAAGGATTACATTTCAAAACAAACGATTATTTGGACTCATAAACGATGAAATATTAATATTTTGTACACCAAAAAGGGAAAAACTAGCATTTTACTGGCCTACCCAAATGATGTTTCATTATATCAAGCAATATGCAAAACACATAATGAATCTGTTACATACACCAACAAAAGAAGCTATAGTCATATAGAATACGGCCATCATACAAATTCGTTTACTTAAAAACATTGACTTTCGAACAAAACATTAAAAAATTCTCGTAAAAGCAATGTTTGCACTGGTTTTGGTCAAAATACCCTGTAAACAATTGTTCTGTAAGGGTGTACACAGTAAGCCCGTGCGTTTAATTACATTACAACAAGTAACATGATTACTTAAGAGTTAAAAACAGAATTATCATGGTGTAGTGTGGTGTCGCTTAGTGAGGTATCCGGTACTGTAATGTCGTGTGTAGTGTAGTACAGAGAAGGGTGATTTTATGTCGTGTAAAGTGATGTGGTGCATATTTATGTCGGGAATTGTGATGTGTTTTAGTTAAGTTTAGTATTTTATGGGAGAGTGTAGTGTGGTATGGAGTAATGTGATGAAGTGTAGTGTTATTTTGTACGGTGTAGTGTAATGAGGGGTAGTATAATACGAAGTGGGGAAGTGTGAGGAAGGGTAGCGTAGCATACCGTGATAAAAGAGAGTTTAGTACAGTGCGGTTTTGTTTGGTGCAATATGTGTGTATGTAGGTACTGTATATATGTGGGCATGGTGTGCGTGCAAGTAAATTCTCGGAAGAGATCAGACCGAGAGGTCCTAAAGTTCGAGTGTCGATTGTCGCAGGATTTTCGACACTGCCTTAACAGCCAGCAGGAAGTCAGCCGCTGTCTGGAGGAGAATTGTAGCGGCTGCCTGATCTGGAAGGTACTTTTCCGTTGTTTTTTCTATTGACACCAGGTGCAATAACTTAAAGCTGCCACGGACCTCACGTGATCTTTTCTTCTTTTTTCTTGTCCAATGCCTACGCGAATTAGCTACACATACTTACTCTTACACTTACTACATTACACACACGTCGGAAGACAAGACGGAAGGTTGGAAGTTATCCCCGCTGGAGCGACTCGCTGGTGGGACATCACTGTTTGGGGAAAATCTCGCCAGAAGACGTGTACAGCCACACCAGATTTCACCTTATCGGCGGAATCTATCGGACAAAGATCACTACCACCTCCCGAAATTAACACTCACGTGCTTTACACTTACGGGACTAAATTCCAAAACAGTTGACGCGCCCGGAAAGACGCAATAATCAATCCATGGCGTGCAGCAGAGGTGCCTGCGCCTAGGCATGGGCGGGCATGGGCCCCGCGGCGAAAGCGAACGCGGGGGCGGCCAGAGACAAAAGGATCGGCGCGGGCGGCGGCAGCGGGAGCGCGCGTGAGCCACACAATGGCTTGTGGGTACAATGGGAGAGGCCAAGTGGCTATTAACTTCTTCCGCGCAGCCCGCCCGCCGCCGCGCCCCCTCCGCCGCCGCCGCCGTCTTGCTGACCGGGCGCCGATCTTCGAGGGTCCCGGATCGAAGGTGCAAGGCTCGGCCGGCGCCGCAACCAGCGCACTTGCCTACGCCCGCGCGCGCCCAAGATGTGTGCTTGGGCTCGCCCGCCGCCGCTCTCCTCCACGCGCCTTTGTTCCCTGACCACATGGGGAGGGAGCGCGGAACGGAGGTCTTACACCGGGAAAAAGCAGATTGGGGAGTTGCCGCCGGAGTGGGTGGTGGAAGATTCCGGAATATTGGAAAGAATTACGTGCTCTTGTTAGTTCTTAGAGATTTAAGTAAAAAAAACAATATCCAAATCCATTTTTTTAAAATTTCCAATCGAGTTTTTTATGAAATACACTGTAACGTATTCTGTTACTCTTACCGGTACTATTCAGAGAGCAATTTTAGAATTGACAAATGACAATCGACAAGAAAAAATCGGCAATTGACTTACGCTCATGTGAAGCCTACTATTAAATTTTGGATTTAATTCTTAACTAATACAATGTATACGTGAACGTAATAATGCTAGAATGAGCGTTACAAGATTTGATGATACGTAGGAGATCAAAAATGTTCTATGTTTTTCAATAGATATGTACTGAAAATTTTCATAAAAACGAGTAACATATGTGAAATTTGTCCAGGTTCGTAAATAACGCGTCATTCCTTTGTGTTAAGTAAGCCACATTTCGATGCAGCCAAAAGGGATTTGTTATGCCTGCATACACCATTGCGTGTTGGAGAAGACTTAAGTAGTGGAAGGTTTTTTTATCAAATTAATTTGCAGTAAGTGTGGGTACCGCGATTTCAAATTGTCTATAATACCTCAAAGCTGTACAATTGTATATAGTTTAAGATGCTTAAGTAAATCAGACCAACCATCAATACTTCAGAAATAAAATTAAGGTATTGCTATTGACAGATATAAAAACACAAAGTGATATTGGATGACAGCTCATGTTCTGCTAAAGTTATCGACAATTTGAATCGGGTTTGGATCCTTCTTCAGGAACACAGACATTTCATCTTGCAAAGTAAAAAAGTTTGCAAGATTGCAACTTTGAGAGGTGCACTAGAGAATATGGCAAAAGTATAATGTTACAGAAGTCCTAGCAAGAAGAATAGTGATACAAGCAATAGATCGATAGTAATAATACAGGAAATAAAACTCACATAAATCTCTCATAAGTCTTCCTCTTTGCTCAGGCAACTGACATTTCCACATCAGTCCATATCGCCACGTCAGTCCGAGCGGGGCCGCGCCAGCAAACGACTTATTTCCTGCAAAAGTAAACACGCGTCATATTGTGGAAATAGAAGCTTAAGATTTACTTGCGACTCCGTCTAACACAAATACTCGTCTTTCTCAATTGGACGACACAATCATTTCAAGCAGAACAAGACTGCTCCAAGCGTAACGTAGTCTCGCGTTATACACGCTCCACGATTTCCGAGTTATGAACTCACGGTAATACTCGACATTCTATGCAATGTTAAATGTTAAACCGCAATGTTTTGCAATGTTAAATCTAAGTAAATACGTATTGCCACATCCATGAAAACACATGAGGTGCTTGCGTGAATAAACACGTTGGAAGGGTACAGAACACGATTTTCATTGGCGATATATTCACTCAAGACAATCAATTTTTCTCCTCTTTAGCATACACACTTCTCGTTCTCACATTTACACGCACTACGCGAGAAGCGGTGAGATAAGTCGGGAGTTTAGAGCTTGTTCCGGTTGGGATGCAGGATTCACCTGGAAGAAGATTCTCTCGCAAGTCTATATGTAGGTCGGTACTGGATCGGGCGTGGATGTCTGCTACTTCCAGGCTTCGAATACTCACTACACTAACAGAAATAATGACCATAGCAATTGTACCCGGAAACATCAATTAAGATTACAGGTGACGCGTACATTTTATTCGAGAAATGATACCTGTGTAATTTCAGAAAGAAAAGGGCGTGGCTTACACGACATACTCCCCACGCGAAGTGTATTTCTTTTCAGTTGGATGAGAGTGAAACAAGATCTCCTATGGGCTCATCTTACGCTCTCTTTTACTCCGTCTACACGTCGCTTCTCCTTTTGCTCAACCATCCATTTCAATCATTTCAGTCGGAATGAGACTGTACGCACGTCGTTGAGCAGCAAGTACTCAGGACGCGTGCTGCGCGACACACGCTCTCCCGTCGCAACGCGCGACGCGCGCTAATGTCATGCAAGACCGCGCCGGCGGCGGCAGTGGTGTCGCATCGGTCACGTTCGCCGCCACTTCGCGACGCGCTTCTAACGCGCGACCAAACAACCCAGCGTCGCCCTGACCACACGCGCCATCAAACAGCAAAGCGCGCTTTGAAAGAAGGCTCGACCGCCACCCGGGCGGGAGTTGAGTCGCGGGACACCGCACCAGCCGCACGGAGAGCTGCTCCCGCCAGTCCAGACCCTCAAAGCCACCTGCTCGGGGCAGGTTTCTGGTACGTTGTAGTTGTACGTTGAACGTTTCTACGAGTTACGTGTATACTGATTGAGTATTTTGTGTATTTGTGCAACTTCAACTTCTATAGTCTGTTAGAGCAGTGCTTGTTGTGTCGTGGAGTTGTTTCTTAGCGGTGTTTCTTCCCCGATATAACGTCAGTGTGATCCGGCGCCGACCTTCACATCGATATTACGAGGTTAATTTTCTTGAGGTATCTTCGCCAACCGGGTACCATCCCAGCCGGAACACGCTGTAAACTCCCGACCTTGTGCGGCAGTGTAGTGTGTCAAGTTGTAAGTCTGTGCCTGTGAACAAACTCTATGTTTGTTTTTTTAAAGTTTTTATCCATTACCTCACATACATAAACGATGTCTTAACTCGTCACACATCGATTCCACGAGTAGGCAACCGCGAATTAGTTGCACCTTGCCTCTCATTGCGAAAATAATGCACAGTAGTGGCCGGCAGCAGCAAAAATGGTACTGAACAAAAACAAAACAAAATGTTTTTAAAACGTGGATCGCACATTGTTCAAAAACAATGAAACAATATCGTATAACACTGTTATAAATAAAATATTTAAACAAATACTGCAATAACTTAGTCTAGTATTTCAACAGTTTTTTTTATTACTAACTCGTATATAAAAAGCTGATGTTGCTTAAATCAAAACGTAATGTATTATAATATCGTATTTAATACACTTATTTAATAGCAAAAGCGAATTTCGGAGAGTTTTGTGGTTGCATAACGTCAGCTGTGTCGTAAGCTTTGACCAACTGAGTATTAGAATTTAGATTGTAAGCACAATAAGAGAATAGGCAGAATTACACAATAAAAAATATATATTATCAGTGAAAATAATAACTGTTTCATAGTTGTAGGATTTTTTCCGTGTTTCCATATCAAATAAAACCATATATACATCTCACATATCCGAATGCTGCATAGTTTCCTTTTAATTTTCGTACGCATTGCAAATTAGTAAGATACTAGATGAGAGATGTACGATATGTGAAATGCCATTTGGGCACAGAATGTTCCAAAAGCCACGCAGGCACTAGGCAGAGTCCAAGGAAAGCAATATTTTCGTCGCGACGCGACGTCCAGGGTGAAAACGGCACGAAACGTGATATAACTGTATCAATGGCTACGATTTCTCGACGTGTGAATCGGTTGTCACTTTTACATGTTCATAAATGCAACAAACGCCCCTTGCGATTCTTTTTGGAAAGAATCCGGATCCGAACTGTTGTCGACAGTGGCCGCCTGAGTGCAGCTCGGATGCTTCCCCCCCCCCAAAAAAAAAACGACTCGCAAGGCTTTCATCGTTTTTGCCTACTATTTTGTGCAAGTACCCAGCGATTTCATACGTATGATCGATTGAGTTCAAGTAATACTTATAAAAATACGTAATACAGACACGACAGTTATTATTGAATTGCTTACTTAAATGAATAATTAACACACATTACATTTATAGTAATAATATTACACAATGAAAAGTAAATTGTCACTTACTCAGATATTTTATTTAAACATCTTGCACTCAATGGTTAATTAGAATTAAGGCGAAAAATGTACAAGTTTGTGCTTTGTACTACAAAGAATTCAGGCCGCTGCCACACACCTTACAGTAATGATTGGTCGCTATATTACCCTTTTGTATAAATAAATTTTCTGAGTAACTGTGCTTTATAGCACGGAAAGTCAGAGTCCAGTACAATCTTCAAATATAAAAGTGAAATGACAACATAATATTTTATGCAATTTCATCGCAGGAATGTAACTGCAGGTATGTTTGTTAATAAACGTTCAACAATATTACCTACCGGTACGCCAGCACCGAGCCAATATGTGTTACGCACAGTTCAGAGCAAGTCTATGTTCACATGTCAACATTCTATATTGAGCACCTGTATAAACCATTTTCATTTTTAAAACCATTATGTAGAAACTGCGAAATGTTCCCAAGGGTCCAACTAGTATAAATTACTGATGAATTACAAGGTACTCCAAGGGCACTCGTAGACAATTAATTAATTCGTGTAATAAAAAATTCTTGTTAAAACCACAATATTTAAATACTCTGCTCAATAACTTCACAAAAAAATTTGTTAGTAGTTTAAATACATTTTTTGTCTCAGAAGGCTCAAAAGAAACAAGGAAATTCAAGAGAAATGTTGAACTTACGCGATTAACTTGAAATTCTGGTCATTCTCTAACTACTGATCTTCTTGTCCCTACAAATGTGCATGATGTAATAATAGCGAATTCGCCCTGGAGTTCATACGAGGTCTAATGAGATGCGCATGAGAAGAATATTCATATTTAGACGATGCTAATTCGCTCCGCGGGGAGGCCCCGAGTGCTGGGTTGCCCGTGGGGCTGGTGGAGAAGGGCAGGGAGGATGGGTGTGGCCGCGGGGCAACGGCAAGGAGAGGGGGCAACTGGACCTCGCATTAGCGCCGGCGCCTGCTGTGCCTAGCGCGCCCATAGTCACGTGACCCAACTAATTACCGGCCTTCTCCGGCCGGTCGACCGCAGCGCCGGCACCGGCAGCGGTGCCAACGGACGCGGTGGCAGAAGTGGAGGTGGCGGTGGTTCCAGTGGACGAGGAGGCAGCGATAATGGTGGTGGCGGTAATGAATAAAGCAGCGGTGGCAATGGGGGTAGTGACAGTGGTGTTAGTGGTGGCAATGGAGAGGGTCGTGGCAATGGTAGCGGTGCTGACGGTGGTGGTAGTTGTAGTAGAGGGGGCGGCAGTGGAAATGGAGGCGGCGACGGTGCCAGCGGAGGCGGAAGTGGCGGTGGTGATAATGTAGGTAAGAATAATGGTAGATATGGAGGAGTCGTGAGGTCGGAGAAAGAGAGGTACGGAGTAACGTGGTCCTTGAAAACAGCTGTAACGATTATGACTCAGCGGAGCAGGGAAAATGTAGTAGAACTACATGAATCATGGGTGCATGCCCATAGCGTACAGTGTAGAATGGGTAATGACAGAAGTCAAACGTAATCAGCGAGGACAGCAGAGTACGTTTGAGGTCAACTGAAGAGATGGATGAGTGGTGGACGAACCAGTGCCTGAACCGCTGGAGAGGAGTTCAGGAGTCCAGGAGTCAGTGCGATGAAGAGATAGTCTACAATGGGCAGGAGGCGGCTGCGCAAGCCAGAGCAAGCCTCCTAGCTCGCAGGCGAGTTGGCCATTCTGAGGGAGGAGCTGGCGCAGGCGCGGGCGGCGGTGGCGAAAGCCATTGGAAAGTCGGGCGTGGGTGTGGTCAAGCCGGGGTAGATAGAGACGTGACGAGGTGGGAATGGACGAGTGGCAATGGAAAGGGAGAGGCCAAAAGGGAGCAGAGCATTTGAGGGCAGATTGGAGATGGAGCGAGCGTGAGGAGGTGTTAAGGAGGCAGTAGACGCAAAGAAGGAGTGAAGGAGATTGAAACAACTAGGAAGTAAGAGAAGAAGTAAGGTTGAGCAGAAAGGGGTGGGGTGGTGATGAGGAATACGTAGCTACTGGAGTGAGAGGCGTGGAGGACTAGAAAATGGGGCAGAGAGGAGATAACAAAAACAAGAAGAACAAGGAAACTGGGGAGGAATCTTGTGAAGGGAAAGGGAGTTGAATGTGGGAGGAGTGAGCAAGAGACGGTTGGATGCGAGACGGATGTGTAGGGTAGGCGAAGGCGGTGCGGAGAAGAGGTCAGTCAGCGGTGAGGCGGACTCTACGCAGGGCTGAGGCAGAGACGCGAGGCGATTCCGCGGCGGCGCTTGAAGCGGAGCGGAGGCGAGGGGAGGCCA